ATGAATTTGATAGTAATACTCACCTGGTATCATCCCCAATTGAAGATTCAATATCTTTATCAGATGTAAGCACTATATCTTCTTCTTCAACAGTTATATTATGTGATTGAGCATTGCTTTCAGTAATAAAATTACTAGATGATCTAAATGATCAAAATAATTGTACATGTCATAACCATCATCATAGCAATTATTAGTGGGAATCCCGCCTTATGCTCAAATCGGGCACAAACTGAAGAGCAAAGCTTAGTTTTGTCTTGACCCAATCACAAGTGGCTTGTTCCCATTTAGTGGATAAACATATTACCATAAAAAATGTTGCTGCTTACGCTCGGTGCTTCACTGTGTCTGTAATAAAAGTCATGGGTCCAAATAATGGCCAACACGAAACATAAACAGGCCCTGCCTCACCAGTCTTTCTTTTTTTAACTTCTTTTAACTCTCTGACGAACTTATCACGCAGTAATTTCCATTTTTTACAACAATCTTCCTCAGTGAAGCCCTCCCCAACCTATTATACAGAAATAAATTCATGTGTTCTTGTTGTAGTTCACTACAACACTCACCTTTAAGGCAACAGCCTTCCAGGCGTTCTCTTTCGCTCTTAGATCTTTATAGGAACGAGATTGTATTTGCCATAAGCACGGATACTCCTTAACAGCTTCTACTAGCCTTTCCTCCATGTTTTCCATCCTCTGGAAATGATGTAATTATTAAAAAAGCACGTGGCCAGGTAAATCTGATTGGTTAGACGCTCAAACGTTGACGCTGGAATTGAATTTTGCTCAATTCCAGCGTTGCGAACGTTGAGCTACGCCTGCATTGACGATATATGTTTACAAAATGACGTTCGACGCTCAAAACGCTCTGTTGGACAAAACAATAGGGTAATGTCATATTGTAAATCCAGCTTAAGCCAGTATTTCAAAATACTGCCTCTTGAGCACCGAGGATCGTGTGACTTATTAAAAAGTTTCCTATTTTAAATAGATTTTTTCTCTGGTTAAAATTTACGGGCAATTTATCTAGCTTTCTTGCTATTTGTTGTTTAATCTGTTGAGGCTCGTTTTCACACATGTAATGGCATACATATTTTGCTGCTCCATAGACATTTCCTACTACTTGAATGTCCGTGTTAGCTCTCCCTGCTTTCAGCAGGTCAGGATTGTATAGATTTATCATCTCAGCACCTACTTCATGTTTCAGTGTGTAGAAACAAGCTTTGTTTCGATTGCAGCATTTCCTTTGAGACGAGTTATGTCACTTGGCCTCTTTGGGTAATCAACCATTATGTCCATTCTTTCTACACATTTGTGTATGATTATGCTTTTGTGATCGCGATACTAAATCTTTGAAATCATCAACTTCGCCATCTTTTGGTACGTGACAACTAACATATATATCAATGAAGCCCTGAGCGTTCCTTCTACCTTCTACTGTCATAATATCTGGTACATCTACCCACCATAGACTATGTATATGAGGTGAGCCTCTTTGTTGCAACTCAACTCTCCAAAAGTAGTCTTAATTTCACCTATAGGCTTACTAGCACCTTTTAATATATTATTCATAAAAGCTTTAAAGCGATGAGAAAAATGATGTGCTACTATCACTGGGTAACTACTTAGTAACCTTCTATGCTCTGAGGTAGACAGCTCTTTCCATCTCATTTTGCACACATTAAAGCAAACCAATTCACATCGTCTGCACTTAATGTGATAAAGAAAGTAGGTGGACCCAGCTTTCTGAACATGACAAACATTCAAGCTTCGCTTTCTTCCAGTATGCTGAGGAACCACGTATATTTCGCATAAATGCATATGAATTTTCTAAAAGCTCCGGGTTTACACTTAAATCTCCATTTAATAACTCACCAGCAGTGATACGCCCGTGATACCCAATGATGATGATGATCTTATTTGCATTGCAATTGACATAGAATAATGTAATCTCATCTTTTAAAGTAAATTTGCTGACCATAGTAAAATATGGAATATTACTAGACCAGTGATTATTAGCATTAAGTAAACATGATTGATCGGTAAATGTTATTGGTGGGTCTCTTGCTGTATGAAACCATTGACTCAATTTGGAAATAGACATGGAAATGTCATTTCTTCCGCCCTTTTATCTTCATATAGATCCATTAGCTGGCCACTTACTCGAGGAAGCTGATGCACTTCATTACCATATGATCCATTTCTGTTGAAGTCAATGGCTTCTAAATTTGGTAATGTATTATCTGTTCTGACTACTGAACATCCAAATTGGGGAGGCTCAATGCTAGAACTTTGCTGAGGTTCATTACTACATTCAGAACAGTCACTGCTACCTATATCAGATTTATCAATATTCACATCGGTATATAAAGTATTATTATGTTTTAACCACCTTAGTGCATCAACAACAAATAGCTTCCTCACTACAAATAGGTTTCTAGTACTAGTAGACATGCTTGATTGTTAAATGTTAGCACAAGCACTGCTTGTACTGGTACTAGCTGTAGCATTCTCAGGCCCACTTCTAGTACTGGCTGTTTCATTACTAGTTAGAACAGAGACAGTACAGCTTGTGCTCTCAGGTGGCGTAACTAACACTACTCCATCACTATTTAGTAGCCTAGGCAAAGAATAAATTACTTTAGACACATTTGCTAAAAAATTAATGGTCTGGCCATCCAATGCTTTATGACTCAAAGGCAACAATATTAGCTTCATAAAGGCTTGAACTCTTGAAATTAGTCTCTGTTCCATTGTGTTCACAGGGGATAGTTCTGGTTAGATTTCATGTACATGCACATTTATTCTTGCATGTAAAGGGATTTTCCCTTTCTTTATAAAAGCAATAGATCGACTACCAACATGAACCTACATTTACTTCTTCATTAGGCAATAAGGCTGATAATTGTGTATCATTAATACATGCATGATAATGCTGTTGTAATGCACCATGTACTTTACTCACATTAACCAATCATACACCTTTTGGGTAGCACAGATGCTCACATGTACAGCATATTCTGGTCGGAGATAATTGTATTTCTTTTTGAACTTTATCAAGGTCTTTTCTTGACAGTTGGTGCTGATGTATGCTTTCAGGAGAGAGAGCTGGGCGTGTTTGGTTACCTAATAATTGCCTAGCACACTCCGTCATTCTTTCCTTTCTTTGATATTTTACAATAATTTCTTGTACACACAATAAAAAGCTGTGTCTATAGGGCAACATTCAATGCTTTTCTTAGTCCTTCTGACTTCTGCAATGGTTTTGCAGAGACTGCTTTATAATCTTCATGCAACGATTTGGCAAAAGTAAATCCACAAACAGTGTCGAAGAGGCCGACCATGTCTCCCAAAAGCTGGTTGGAAATGATGAATCAACATGAGGGTGTATTACCAGAATCAAGTTTCACAGAGATAGTGAGCATCAGTGCTGGAGGTTAGTGAATCAATAGAAATTTCTATTGTTTTCTTGTATCATGGCTCTGTCAATTTTGAGATACTGCTGTATTTTCTCATATGCGCAAAACATAAGATAAGTCATATCATTAACATGGACAAGACCTCCTCCATCTACTGTTAGTCCAGCAGTCACTGCTGGAAAACTTCCGTCATTCTTATAATACCCAATCATCTCTGCTAAAATTAGAAAGTGGTCCAAATATGTTGAATTTTCCAGCTTCAGTTTCATTTTGCGGCATTTATATCCTGCAACATAGCGGATGATGTTTTCCTCAATGCTTCTCAGTTCCAAATACCATAGATGCGTTGCAGTGACAACTTCTTTCTTGTGATGAAGGGATATTAAACTAGAAAAATATTTTCAGTGACATGTTAAAAAAAGACGGCATTGCACCTGATTCATCAATAGCATAGGTCAACACCTTTATCCATTCTTGCAAGAATATCTTTAGCTAATCAAATAGATTCATATTTTCACCACATGCAATCTATTTCCTCCGTGTAAGTTTGTATATTTGAAGCAAAACTTTAACTAGGAGACTGTGACTTCGGAGAAAAGATGGAATTAAAAATTATTTGATGTCCATAATGAAAAGTTTCTAGCTATTTCTTTTATTTGCTTAGAAGATTTTGTCACCTCGTAGCTGCTACATAAAAATTTTTTTCTGACAGACGATACAATTTTAGATGGACAACACTCACAACAGGACTCATACGTCCCTATAAGGGGATCAAATGAAGTAATTGCAAAGTTAAAAATTGCAGTACCTATTGTACATGTGTCATCTACTTCCGTGCATGTTGATATAGATTTTTTTAGCAACAAATAATCTTCAGCTCTTATCTGCAAAACAGAAATGGGCATTGACTGAGTTTTTCAGCTATTATTGCGATATAACTGCCACCCTACCTGTAACTCATTTCCTCAACAGTTGCGTCTTACTGCAGGTCAACAAAATGAATTAAACGCACTAAGAACTTGTGTTTTCTTTAAATTTGTTAGATTTGTATGATCATGAGTGTGTCTAATCTGCATCTGGTTTGCAAATAAATTCTGTAGCAGGCAGCGACATAGAATAAAAGTAACTCTGGGGACTGAAAAAGAAGCGTCACCACTTCAACAAATGCGTGAGCGACATGTAACTGTAAGCAGTATCCATTAAGATGCCTATTCCTTGTCATTCTAATTTCTTCTAAGCTTTCGTTACTAAATAACATCACCTTTTGCTGAGATGTATCAAATCCAGGACGAGCTTTGACACTAGCTTCCCAATCATTAAAGTTTTTCAAAAAAACCTTTGTCAACCACAGCATACATATTTAAATGAGGCCAATAACAGAATTACATAAATTGTAAATTACTTTAAAACGAAAGTCATCCTCTGAGCGGCAGTGGCTAACTAAGGTTGGGCTTGCAGGGTTTGTGCCCACCCATCATTTTATTAAATAATTAATCATTTTAAATAACCTGATGTATTCATGATTGGAACCAGAGGAAGATCTTTGCTTCATTACTTCTTTTCTGAAGTAGCAAGAATGAACCACAAATTACTTCTAGTGAAGCTACTGGTGGAACTAAGAAGTGTGACAATGAAGCGGAGTCTTTACCTGGTCATAAATAGTGACTGTTATTGTGGCTTTTGGTTTATCATTAAACTTGTTTCAGTTATTATCGTAGTTAATGTTTGGTTTTAATTTGCTGCGTATGCCATAGGCTAGCAACTTATTATGCACAAAATGGGCAAGGCGGAAAGTGTGCTCAGTGGGGCACTATTTCATGCCCCAAATTGAGTGTGGCCAAAATTTCAGCTCACTTCGCATGCCTCATTCTTCAGTTTTGCCATCTCTAAAATCTTAACTACATCACTGCTGAGCAGTAAAGGTCTTGAAACGGTTTTCTTTTAGTTTTATCATTGGTAAATTTCCGTATATTGACTGTGTCCAACAATGTATTAAACATACCTGTAAATATTTCCATTTCTTAAGCTTCATTGACCTTCAAATGCAAGTGCCTTTGAAACTAACTACTTAACAGCTGTGTGTGTATATGTGATTTGCTTCATATTATGTTTGTGTACCTGCGCTGCCAGGTTAATACTTGTTCCTAAAAAACTAGGGACTTGTATGTGCCATTTTTTATTTTGGGTAAGAGCACTAATTCACTATTAGATGATCTTAATTCATAATTTATGTATCTTTTAGATGATCCCATGCAATCAATTTAACATTCTTCTGAAATAAACACTATAATTTTATGTTTATAGTGGCATTTTACCCATGCATTTCCATTGTAAGATGCTCAACGATTTCTTGTTGCTTTTCATAAAGGCAGGGGATCAGAGAAGAAAAGGGCTCTTGCATCGAAGGGGTCTTGCATCGAAATTGACGATATTATTTGTCTGTTGAGTTACTCTCCTAGAATCACTATTTAGTTTTAT